TTATACCCATGAGGCTTCTCCAAGGGCTGCAAGTGAGGAAGCATGGCCAGGCACCGGTTCTCCAAGGACAGGATGCCTGGGTGGGCAGACACAGGCCTGGGGCCTTTCTCCATGGCTGCAGCCAACTAGAACGCACCTAGAAAGACAGACAGACAGGTGGTGAGCACTGGCCTGCAGAGGGAGCTGCTGTGCATTAGGAGTGAATCCCCATGTCCCTGCTGGCTATGCCAGTGACCTGCACACTGAAAACAACCAGTAATTGTTTTCCAGGATTGCATTCATCCAGGGAGGACTCTAAGGAAGAGGGTTAAAAAAGGGGAAGGCAAAAAGTTTACCAGCAAGAAAGTTTTTGATAAAGGAATGACTGGAGAGCCAAGCGTGGTGGTGCACGCCTGTAATCCCAGCACTCGGGAGGTTGAGGCAGGAGGATCGTTGTGAGTTCGAGATCAGCCTGGGCTACAAAGTGAGCTCAAAGCCAGCCTGAACTGCAGAGCAAGACACTGTCTCAAAAAAAGACAGGGAAGAAAAAAAAAAAAGGAATGGCTGGAGAAGGAAAGAATATGTCTTCTCAGGAGGCAGTAAAAGAGACGCAAGACTATCAGTGGGATCCTAACTGCACAGAAGAGGCTCACTTAGAATCTGGATTCTTAGTGCCCAAGAAACAACGTGCTTACCAAGTCGCACATACTACTCCAACTTCCTTGCCTTCAATCCCCTTTTTTTCAACTATGGGACAACGAACCAGGGACCTCACACAAGGCTATATCCCTAGCCATTTGTTTTTGTTTCTGTTTTTTTGAAGTTTTAATTTAAAGTCTTCCTAAGTCACTAAGTTGCCCAGGCTGGTCTTGAACTTGCAATCCCACTGCCTCAGCATCCCAGAGTGCTGGGATCACAGGTTTGCACCATGAGGTCTGGTTTCTATGCACTTTGTCTTAGTTAATTTTTTTTATTGCTGAGACAAAACACCCAACACCCAAAATTCAAAGGGGAAAGGTTTATTTAGCTCACACTTTGTAGTTTTCAGTCCATAATCAGCTGGCTCTGAGGTAATGTGGCACATGGCAGAGATGAACAGTTCATGTGGAGGAAGACAGCAAATGCAACCAGGGAAGAGAGACAAGACTCTTTCTGTCCTTGTATTGTACGTGAGCTACCTGCCCTGGGCGGGTGTAGCACTCACTCTCTTAATGCCAGCATTGGACCAGGAATCAATCACAAATTCTAGATTCAGCCACCTCTGAAAAGCCTACCCACATGACAGCATGAAGCTTTGGGGGGAGGTATTTAGACTCAAACCGTAACACTCTTCAACCAACTAAATGGGATTGTGTTCACCAAACTGTCCTCTTAAGATAACGAATAGGCTTCTTGTTCTAGTATGAATCCACAGATACATGTTGGCTCCTGTCTAATTTACTTCCTAGAGTAGAAAATAGGCCACCACTTGCTGACTTTCTTATTGAAACACTCTTTCTTTGGCATCCACAATGCTACTGTCCAATATTCTTGTAATTCTAGATGCATCTTCTTGGGGGTTCTGTCTCACCATTCCCTAACATTAATGTTCCTTATACTTGTATTCTAATCCTTCTAAATACTTTCCTGGGGCAGTCTCACCTTCAGTGTGACTCCAAATACATTCTACACCAGCAACTCAAATTCATTCTGAATTCATTCATTCACTCAAATTCATTCAGAATTTTCTCCTGACTTTCATACGGTACTCATTTATCCATCTGCCTAGGGCACACCCCTATCTAGATGACTTACAGGCACCCCACATTCCACAGATCCCAAAGGAATTATCACTTTTCCCTCACTCCTTCTTCTGCCTCAAATCTGTTCCCCCTCTTTCATCACTTCTGTTCAGAAGGCTTTTGAGTAAGACACGCCTAGGTTTGACTCCTGGCTCCCACATTCTGGGGTCTTGAGCAAGTTACTTAAATTCTCTGGGTCTCCATTTTCACTCCACAAAATTACAAAAATGCTGATCTCACAGAGATATTATAAGCATAAATGAGAAAAATACACAAGCTCTTGTGGAAATGTCTTACATGTACTAAATATTCAATAAATAAAGGTTATTATTTATTATAATTATTCAGGAAACAACTAATATTATTGATCCTACTTCCTCAACCTGTCAGATGTCATCCAATTGTCTCCATTCCTCCTCCCACCAGCCCTGCACAATCCTCTACTGCAGGTGACTGACAACTTACTGTATGCACATCTGCCTCAAGAGCTCACCCAGAAACACCCCAGCCACCATGTATATATCAGTATATATAGCAAACTCTGTTTATTATCTTCATCAAAATTTAAAAACCATCTTGTTTGCTTCTTTGTGAACTTAGTCTGGTCTTCTCCATACTGAAATAAAAGTCCCTAGGCCGGGCATGGTGGCGCACGCCTGTAATCCCGGCACTTGGGAGGCTGAGGCAGGAGGATCATCGGGAGTTCAAGACCAGCCTGGGCTACAAAGTGAACTCAAGGCCAGCCTGAACTACATGGCAAGACCCTGTCTCAAAAGGGCCAAAAATAAATAAATAAATGAAATAAAAGTCCCTGAAAGGCACCTTTGTCTCATTCCCCTTCTGTATGCCGGGTATCACACACATGACCTAGATTCTGATCGCCTCCCAGGTGCATTGCTTGTTGATACCTACCCCGATCCAACTCAGAGCAGTTTAAGCCTCAACCATAGAATTGCTGAGGTATCTCTGGACTCTGGACTTGTGCACAGGGAGAAGCCTGAAACCCACTTCCCTCTACCCTCAACACCTCTCCTCTAACTTCTCCTTCACCAGGACAGTCAGTACACTTTCCTCTCACTGGCATTCCTCACTAGGAGACCCTAGGAAACCCGGGGCCACCTTAGCACCACTGACCTCTCCAGGTTCTCCCCAAGCCTGTACTTCCTTTACCACAGAACACGTCATGTGCTTGTCCTTTGGCCTACTACCCTGTAAGTTCCTGGGGCAGGATCCTTTTGGCTTTGTTCACCATTGTTTCTACAAGTCCTAATCAGTACAATTTAGAGGCTTGTGCAAATCTGGTAAAAGCTAAGAAGTTTTTCACGGGGGTGGCGGGCACACCGGCATATATACTGTTTAGCACTCGATTTTCAGGATGTACATGACGCCATTCTTGGACTTCCCAAGATTTGTGTAAGCTGTAAATTAAGAACCTTTCCCTGAGGGAATGCTTGAAATATGCCATTAGGAACGTACCAATTTATTCATCTGCATATAAATGTATCTCCCACTACCATTTAAATGTTTTAGGAATAACATTAGTAAGTAAACCACTTAAATCTCAGTATATGAATAAGCTTATGGACAGGGACAAGAAGAGTTTGAAGACAACTTGAACAAAGTAACAGTCCAGGGCTAGAAAGAAAAGCTGTAAACCACAGGTTATCAGTGTAGACATTTCATCAAGCGTGGTGGCCCGGCAGGCACGCTGGAGCACACCTGATGCAATCCCAGCACTCTGGGAGGCTGAGGCAGGAGGTCTGCAAGTTCCAGCCCGACCTGGGCAATGTCGTGACTTAGCAAGACCCTGGCCTAAAAAACCCGACGGCTTCTACCACCTACTGTAGAAGCTGAGGCACAGGGATCACAGGCCAGAGGCCGCCTGGACAACTAAGCAAGACTGGCCTCAAAATGAACACAGCTCAGTGATACAGGCCCTAAGTTCCAACACCAGTCCCCACAGGCGCAGGACGGCTTCTGAGCCCTGCACATGCCCCGACT